TCGGCGGGGCGGCGCTTTCCCGGCGGGGAGGGAATCCTCTGCAGGAGGGCAGCGGGCTAAGCCGCCTCGGCCTCGCCTCCCTGGCGAAGCTGGCGGCTGGGCGTGCGCTTCTCTTCGCCAACTCCCCGCGGTCTCGCCTCTCTCCGGGGACGGAGGCCGGGGCGGCAGCGCGGTCAGAAGAACGGGGCTGCTTCGGAAGGCGGGGCTGGGCTTTCTCTCGCGTCTTCCCCGCAAGGCGCGGCCGAAGGCTGTGGCCAAAAGGCGGCCAGGAAGGATAGCCCTCCCCTGCCGCCGCAGGCGAGTGAGGGTCTCGCGCTCCCCCCCCGCGGCCCATGCACGCCCGGGACCGGCCAGCGGAGTTTTCTGGCGGGGGCGGGGCGGCCGTAAAAGGCAGGGGGGGTCAATGAGAAGCTGAGTTTGGGCTTCAGGGTCATCCTGCCTCAGCATCGGCAGGAGCGCGCAACTTGGCCTCTGCTGCACAGGAGGAACTGGGCACCCGGCACCGACCTCCGCTTCCCCTCTGGGGCTGAATGACACGGGTGGGAGAGCCGCTGAGGGTGGAAGTGTCGGGACCACCAGAGCCGCGAGGAGGGAAGAAGGCCGGATGCCCACTTCACGCTGCGCCAGCAAGCTAGGACGAAAACCCGGCGGCTCTCTTCGAGGGAAGGGTCTCGCTGGACAAACCAGGATCGCGAGGGATTCACAACAATACAATTGTCTATCCGTTATTTTATATGTTTACATGCTTCCTTTCTCCCAGAAGCCAAGGTGGCTTGCAATATAGTTTAAAAACAAAGAAACAAACAAACAAACCAATAGCCTAGCCTTGTGCTTTCCTATGCATAGAATCAAAGTATCATAGAATCATGAGGTTGAAAGGGGCCTGTAAGGCCATCAAGTCCAACCCCATGCTCAGTACAGGAAAACAAATCAAAAGGATACCTGGCTGGTGGTTGTCTAAATTTCTATTGAATATATCCAGCTTGAGCCCATTGTTGCCTGTCCTGCACTCTGGGATGACTGAGAACAGATCCTGCCCCTCCTCTGGATGACAGCCTTCCAAATATTTGAAAAGTGCTCTCCTCTCTCCCCTCGGTCTTCTTTTCTCAAGACCAAACATGCCCAGTTCTTTCAGCCTTTCCTCATAAAGCTTGGTTCCCAGCCCCCTGATCATCATCCTTGTTGCCCTCCTCTGAACTTGTTCCAGTTGGTCAGCATCCTTCTTGAAGCGTGGTTTCCAGAACTGGACACAAACCTCAAGGTGAGGCCTAACCAGGGCGGAATAGAGGGGGAAATAGCACCTCACAGGATTTGGGAACTATACTTC